ATATATATATATATATATCATATATATATCATACATATATCATATATATGATATATGATAATAGTAATGGCATTTACAGTCAGATCAGGTCCATCTTTCTGGCATTTCCCATAATGAGCCATGCTGGTGGGTTATAGCCCAGAGGTCAGCTGTGCTCTGATTGGATATGGTAGACTATATGCTTCCATTGAAGTCATGAAGGCTTTGATTCTGTAATGCTTTGGATCCATTCTGAGGGGAAAGAAAACCACATCAGTTAACTGACATTCCACATGGTCCATGAGCAGTGCTTTACAGGGAGTTGTACACTCTATGACATTCAAATTCTTCACCCATCATTTCAAATCTGTGTTAACAAACATAAGTCCTAAGTTTTAAATGCTGCCTGTGCCTTGAATGTTGCTCATTTGCCAGTATGACAGTTATTATTATAAACATTATTAGTGACCTGAGCGGTTGGGCTGTGTACTGTATGTTTCCTCAGTGATGTAGTTTGTATTCAACACATTCCACCAGCTGACATTGTGAAACTATTGGATAGAAAACACTTTTGTGCTTTGTAAAGCCCTTTAAAGAAATACGAAGCCAAAGACAAAGTACTTTTACTTTGGAGAGTTTCTGAGATGAATATGTACAGCTGTCAAAAATTGATGTAAAAAAAAAAATCTCTAACATTTGACAGGTGTGAAGATTGTGATCTGAGTAGAAGAGTTTTTGTTGACTTGGAGTATGTGCAGAACTGTAGATGATATATTGTACTAACCCTACTTTGTGCTCCCTCACATTCAAGTCACAGAGCGAAGCAACCACTTCACGCCATGCGATGTCTCTCTTGTCCTTATTTTTAGAACAGGTTGTTTTTGGACTAAGGAAGCAACTTATGACCATTTTGATAACCAATTTAACTGTTGGTTATTACTTGCTTGGGATTCGCATAATCATGTATTTCCTTTATTTATTAGGACCCGGGGTTATGACATCCTTTGCCAGGTGGTCTTTGATTTATTTGATAGGTGTGATTCAATTGCTCCATATAAATTTGGCACAACACACACAAAATATATGTAAATCTATATATATGTTTTGTTTTTAATGTGTAGAAAAGTGAGTACGAAACAAGTGCCTGCAAGTAAGACAGGGACAAACGCAAACTGAGCAGAATAACAATAATAATAGGTTTAGACCGAAGGTATAAAAGTGAGAAACAGAGGTCCAGCAAAATGTCAGATAGATGTGTGTGTGTGTGTGTATCTTATGTGTGATCCGGTTAATGCGTGAGTGAGGGGTGTCGATTGAGGGTTAGGTAGTAATATAGGATATATGTCAATCTACACAAATACTGTACATGTACACAAATATTCTTATTAATATACACTCACCGGCCACTTTATTAGGCACACCTGTTCAATTGCTTGTTAACACAAATAGCTACTCAGCCAATCACACGGCAGCAACTCAATGCATTTAGGCATCTAGACTGGTGAAGACGACTTGCTGAAGTTCAAAGTGAGCATCAGAAAGGGGATTTAAGTGACTTTGAACGTGGCATGGTTGTTGGTGCCAGACGGGCTGGTCTGAGTATTTCAAAAACTGCTGATCTACTGGGATTTTCACCCACAACCATCTCTAGGGTTCACAGAGAGTAGTCCTGACCTTTTCATGCAACTCGTGTATTCTTCTTGTGATCGTGCTCTTGAGGCTCATACGTGCCGTCATTCGTTGCGATCCTAAAGGTGCGTTCACACCAAACGCGACGCGAACGCGCCTTGAGAACGTTCCTCAGACCAACATCTTCCACAATACTAACCGGCTGCAGGTTGTATCCACTTCTCTGTGTCTATCTATACTTCTCCCACACGCTGCATCCAACGTATTCCTCCACAAAATAATAAAAAAAAAATGCGTTAACGCGTGATAAAATAATAGTCGGCGTTAATTAATTAATGCGTTAACGCGATAATAACTTGCCCAGCACTAATATATATATATATAAATGTAGTCATGTAGCGCACTACTGCAGCGCAGCAGGAGAAATCAGCTTTCTCAGTCAATAGTGAACTCACAGGAATGTATTTCTTCAGCACTGATTGGACGTCTGTGTAGAAAGTGGCACAATGTCCATTTAACTTCCGCTGAGTTTATCATATATCATATAAAGTCATCCGCTTGCAGATTTTCACTCCGGCTGTCTCCTGTAAAATTATTTTAATGGTGAATGTCTTGTTGAAAATGAAAGAAACTGACACAAGAGTTACACATCCAAATACAGTATGTATGTTATAACATGTCAGGTATATAATGAGAGCTATCAAACAACGGTTCATTGGCATATAATCTAGAGGTGGACGGAACTGGAGAGACCAAAGTACAACAAAAGTCGTCTCCAACTCCGTTAACAACCATAAACATCGACATCTACACTTAGTGAATATAATTGGTTATATTTATAATAAAAAAAACTAAATACATAAATCATATTTTCAACATTATGTGAATAACAATTCATCTCAACATTGCTAGATGTGAGGAACATCAGATATAGGATACAAAGAATACAAAATAAAAGAAACAGACCTGTCCAGAACTTTTTTGTCCCAGTTTAATATGCAACTACAAAAACCCAGTTGCCTCAATATCATGCAGGACATAAAGTGATTCCAGTATTTAGTCGTGTATTTACTCACCTCAAGAAACTAAATGCAAGATTACGATACTGTAAAGAAAGGCATTTGTGATTCTACTCACGGTTGAATGAATGAGTTAGTGGTTTTAAGGGGAACATTCTAGATGAATGCTGCTACTTCCTGCTTAACTGTGATTTGGTGATAAATGTCTGGGACGAAGGCTCTGAGTGGATGAGTGATATGTTTTTGTTTTTTTGCTGTAAAGGAGGCATGAGGCCACCCTGAAAGGCAGTCAAAGTGGTTCTTCTGGTAGCATTCTTACGGTTCAGTTGTTCGCATTTACCACAGACGGACCAAACCCGGGTTAATTGAATGTAAGTATTACTTTTAGAGGATCCAAGGGGTTTGTTGTGATTTCTATTTGACTTCATACCGATGACCGACGCAAACCCGAGACCGTTGACCTAAGAAGAGGCATAGAATCCAAAAATGAGGTAGCTGTTGTGTTGTATTGTATTCTCTTTCATACAGCTCTTCTCATTATTTAGGATTACAATTAGGAGTTCTGCTGATACCCAGGCCACACCTTGGTCTTTAAGACCCGATCCTGGTGAACCCAACTGTAGTGCCAAATCTGACTCCAAAAGCAGGGCTAACGCTGAATTACCAACCTGACAAAGCGATCGAGGTAGCTAGTCCCGGGCCCTGGACATCAAAGGGCCTTAAAAGCCCCAAGTTTACTATTTGTCAGTTGCACAACATACTAAGGGCCTTGAGGTGGGTCCTGTATTATCTTGTGTCCAAATAGAGCCTTTTAAATAAAGCTGTAAGACGTTTGTGTCTATGACGATTCTCAGTCATCCAGGTCATGGCTTATCTGGAAGCGCTAAGTCAAAAGGCAACTGGACAGCAGACCTGGGGCTCCAGGCAAAATATCATTAGGATGTCATGCGTGTTCTACCATGTGTAGTACTACAGTACTGTACAGGTGTTGAGTACAGCACACTGAGTGGGAGGAGGGGAGATCGGAAGATTGATCCTTCCATGAACAGGTTTATATAAGAACAAAAAGTCCTCACTCTTGTCTGCTGCCATGTCACTGTAGCCGGTTTGTTGACTGGATGGCACAAAGCTTGACCAGGCTAATTCAACACATTAGCTTTACAGAAATTGCTTACTAAATGACATTGGAAAATAAGGCAACCTGAGATATAGAGCAACAAAACAGTCTGGACCTAGGACTGTGGGTAGCAGGACACGGTGTTGAGTAGGTGGTGATCCTGATAGTGACTATAATTGCAAAAGCTTCTTTCCGGTGAGACCAGACCAGGGGTGGGATAAGGGAGTCTGAAACCCCTAAGTTGAACCATGTGGTTTGTTTCCTTTTGTTGCTCCTTGAATCTGACTCTTTCTATGATTTTTTGGTTTTCCTGGCTAATCAGATGAATCAAATAAAAAGAGGAAGAAGAGGAATCAGTGGAAAATGTAGATAGAAACGACACGCATGTGCCATGATGACGTCTCTTAATCATTTGGTTAACTGAGCCAGCCCTGTTTTTAAGATTTACTCATCAGATGTTGATATTACATTTCTAATTGACATGCTGACACTTCAAGATATCACCCAATGTCTTTGTCTCCTCACTGGCTAGGTCAGTAGATTTTGTTCCAGTAAGAAGTAATAACGCATTATCTTCAGTTAGTTAGGGGATTAAATACCGATCAAGGGAAAAGGAGACAAAGAATACAATCTGTCTAAATGCTGTCCATTGTTTCCACCTGCACCTGGTCCCAGATGGGCCCCGGTAGCATCCAGGTGAGGATGGACTGGGGGGGGGGGGGGGGGGGGGGGG